TGAACGTAAGCCAGTGCTAATTATGATTAGACGAAATTTTCAATGACGGAATTCAGCTTGAACGCAGCTTCAACTAAATAATCAACCGAGACAAAGGATGGGGGATGAAAGAATAATAAGAAGTAACCTTGGATCGACAGAAATACATGTAAACGATGAATTATAGACGATCGTAAAGGTGCTGCAGTTGATGGGTGCATATGAATCGCACCGGTCGAATGCATATGCTAGGCCAACGAAGTAGTCGCTACCAATAATTTGATGTGTGTTCAATGAATTTGCATTTGATATGTTCGTGAAACGACCGAATAAAACAAATTTTGCAAAGGGGTGACGACGCGTTCTGAGAGTTAATCGAATCGCACGTTGACGGCATTTATCGTCTTCGGATGCATTTGTGTTCATACGAAACACTTCAGATGAAATTACCGCTTTAAGTTTTGCGCATGATTCAGTATGCAGTTCATTTAGTAGATTCATACCACACATTTCAGCTGCCTTAAATAGGCTAATGTCTTCGTTCTAAATAATTTGCGATAAAGTAATACCGATAATCACTACTGAATGCGAAAGTGAATCTGAAATAAAACGATAAATGCAAAATAAAAACGAACCGTTTTCGAAAAGAAAGATGCGAAAATGCTATTGATATGATACAAACATCCAGTTAAACCCATACAAACTGTTTCAATAGTGCACGATTCGATATAAAAATGAATNAATACATCTGCATAAAATACGTACGTTTGCATGCAAAAATTGAATTACTGATCATATGAATGCATAAAAAGGTAATCAACTTGCATTGTTTACGCTTCAAAAAGTTGATCGTGCATTTCAGAACTTCACTTTTATCCATTTTTAGATCATTACTTCCATTCGATATGACACAATTCAATTCGTTTATCAACCTGTTGAATACAGCTCGTCTTCGCTTTTCATTCTCATTTCGTTTCTTTCTTCAATTCACTTCTATTATTCACTATCTCCACACCAACAATTACAAATCTTGGTTCATTGAATCAAAATTCAACACAAACTTGTGCACGACCCAAACCAACAAGAAACGGTCGTAATGTAATCCGCACTCAAAAATGTGATGATAAATTAAATCAGTAATAAATGACCTTTTAAGAGTAAATGCAGCTTTAGCGGCAGGAATCGACATCACAATCAATACCTTCTAGACCAACATACGTACAACAATCAAACTCATTCAATTCATTTCCGAATGCAGTACTATCCGAATGCAATCGAAGCCATTAAACTGAACACACCCCCGTCAATAATTACCCATCAAAAAACCAACACGTACCATCAAACACTCGTTTGTGCGAATGTGTCCTCTAGGTCATATGGTGCATTCATGTAATAAATAGACAGGCACTATGCATGTGCCATAGCCCATATTACACGATAAATACCACAACAAACGCTCATTTGAACATTTATTTCGAGATGGCAATGATCAGTAAGAACAATAACAATTCGATCAGTGAAGAATTCACATTCAGAAGTATATGTTACTCCATTCATCATGTATGCAAAATGCAATAATAAAGCTACTAATTCATGATAGAACCATCATCGTATCATCGTATCTTCACCATTACTTTCATATCAATACGTCGTTCCATCCACCGAGATAGACACATCCAAATGCAACTGAAATTGATACATATCACAACGACGAATAATCTCAACCTGCTGGTACAACTGAAATCAAATCAGAAGATTCAACAAAGAAGAATTACAGCAATAAATCGCGATCATAAATAGTAATGAATAGCAATAAGACTGATCGAATATGCGTGATAAGCGAAGCACATACCAACTTCGATGGCCACTCCGAATAAGATGAAGGCCGTGAAATCGGCTTGGGCTTTCATCGATGCATCTTTCTTCAACTTTTCCGCCGATGCCGCATCACGGCCAATTCCTCCGGGGAACATCATTTTGACTCAGCTATGCCCTACCTGCAGTACATCGTCACACTTATGCTAACAGTGCTCATCACCATACAATTCTAGTGACGACATTTCCCTGAGAAGGCGCGAGCGGGATGCTAAAAGCCTCAGCAAAAGCTCTCAATAAACTTCACAGCTACGACTCAGGCTTCAATTTAAACTCAAAATAACTCCAGAGCGGTACATCTTTAGTTTAGGGACTACACCGAGCAAATAGACGTGAGCCGGAGCCCATACGTAGCCTCATCGCCGGGTGGGCGTGCCTACTACGCTGAGAAACGTCTCTATGCGCGCGTGTGTAGCCCCTAAACTAAAGAACTGCCTCCAAAAGCTTCTACACTAAGATTCAGCTAAAAACAAATATCAGCCTCAGTTTCATGTTTGAACCCGATCTCATCTCCCTTCACGAATCTGTCAACTATAGCACTACTCGTTTTATCTTCATAATGTCCAGAGCTTAAGTCGTCGTAAACAG